CTGCGTGTGCTCTGCTGGGTGTTTCCAGCCACCGTCCTGAGGTGGGTGCTGCACGAACCCCTGGCCTGGCTCCCCTTGGGTTCTGGTGTGCTCTGCTGCAGTGCTGGACCCTGTTTGATGGACACAAGCTGGCAGGCTCCACTGCCCGTCTCCTGAGCAGCTTTATAAATGGGAGTTGTTAAATTTAATCTGTGGATAGCACGACTCAGAAAACCTAAAATCCTCGGAGGCACAGAGCGAAGTCAGGGTCTCATGCTCATCTATGTCATCATGCACATCTCAGTGCAAGGTCCTTGCTTTGGGCTGCATGGCAGGGGGAAATGGAGGGGACAGGGCATTGTTGTAAAGGATCCCCTGAGCTTCTGATGGGGAGGTGCTTGTGGCTGGCAAATCTCAGCACTCTGGATTTTAGTGCGAGGTCAGAAAAACAACTTAAAGGTGCTTGTATTACACATTAGTATGTCTTTCTGTTTCAGACTGTCTGCTCTCCTTATCAGTATTCTAGCATTTGAGATACTCTGTTTAACTTCTTGCGGCTGACAGATTAAATGAAAGGGCATCTTGACCTTGAGAAAAGCAGGATTTACAGGTCCCACCTGTGCTCACAGTACAGAGAAGAACTTTGAAGCTGAAAGTTCCTGAAGTGCAAAGGCTTGGTGCTATACCAAGGGAATTGTAGACTCATCAACTGGTTTGGGTTGGAAGGGACCTTAAAGCTCACCTAGTTCCAAACCCCTGCCCCAGGCAGGGACACCTTCCACTAGAGCAGGTTGCTCAAAGCTCCATCCAGCCTGGCCTTAAATACTGCCAGGACCTATTATAGTTCTTTTCCTAACTGGGTGAGAACTGGCATTACACACACAGCACTCAGGAGAGTCGCAGGGCTCAGAGGGGTACTTTGTACTTTTTCCTTTTGTTTCTTATTCCAGGCCTCCAGCCTTGGTTAGAAAAGGGTTTGTTACATATTTTTGCATATAATTGGGACATTTTAATTTCTAAAGCTGAAGTTTCCAATTCTTTAAAACACAAAATCACATCTTTTATTTGGATAGGGATCAGGACTGTGAAGCAGCTGCTTTATCTGTTGAGGATGTTAAAACAGTCAGCCTGGCTGCTTGGATGTGATCAGGTATTTGATATAAAACACAAGGTGATTTGTGCTGCCTCTGCTGTTCTAGAGCAGAAGGAAAAAAGAAAAGCAGGATAAAATGGTGGCGTTGCAAATTCGACCCCTGATGCTGCTGTTAGTGGAGATGAAATCAAACTTGCTTTTTTCCTCACTCCTTGCTTTGGGCTTCACAGTGAAGTTCTCTGGATATCTGGAAGACCAGCATAAGCCCTTCTGCACAAACTGCTACAGCAAGTCTCCTGGGCTGATGAAACTCGGGAAAGGTAAGTTGGAGGCAGAAAGTTTGTCTTGTGACTCGGGATTGTAAAGACCAGCCTCTTAAGGCATGTCATTAAATGCTCTTTAGTGTTTTTGGGCTATTTGAAGCCTTTAGCACTTGTTAATGGAGGCTTGCTAAAAGCCTCCTGCTTTACATGGGTGGTGGTCAATCTGGAACTGATCACCCTCTGCCCCTCTTGACTCCTGGTGGCATGGGGGTGCCCTGAGGCAGCTGCTCCTCGTCCTGGTGTTCTTGGATCACTGAAGAGGAGATATTGTGCCTTGACAGGGGGCAGTTGGCCACTGTAGTTGCTGAGATATGAGCTACCAAGTATTTCTTCCTCCAGGCTTTGGAGAGATTGTTTGGTGTCTGAGCCGGGTTCTGTGTGATTCTCATGACCTTCCATGTCTTGTTGAGACAGACATTACGCTTTTGGGCCTGGAAGTTGGCCTGCTGACAATGAAGAAGGGAGAGTTGTCAAGGTTTGTCTTCACACCGGGTTACGCCTATGGGCAGCGAGGCTGTCCTCCTCTCATTCCCCCAAGTGCCACGGTCATCTTTGAAGTGGAGGTGCTGGACTTCCTAGACTCGGCTGAATCTGACACATTCTTTGAGCTGACTGCTGTGAGTTGCTGTGAAAGTTTGAAACCTGAACCTGGTGGCTAAACCTTTGTTGTCTCCTTCCATTTGCTGAGGCCCGTGCATTACATATGTTTAGTTTACAGGCACGTGCTTGCTAACGCTGCCCCTGCTCGCCTACCCCTGTTTGTGCAGAGGGAGTAGCTGGGTGCTGCCTTTGTTTGCTCCTGCGTGCTGGAGTCAGGCTCCCATTCCATGGTTCTAGGATTTATTTTTAGCTTTACAAGAAACCTCCTGGTTTCACTAGAGGGCACCAGCTTCCAGGAATTTCCCCAAAGGAACAGTAAGGAGCTGTCTGTAAAAATCCTGTGCAGTTGGCAGTGTCCGAGTGCCTCCCCCAGCTCTCGTCCTTTGTCCTTGGGTCTTGGCTGCTTTCCCGAGTGCTCCTTCACTGCTTTCCTTCCCGGTGCTTTATAGTGTTCTTGTTAATTTCGCCTTTTCATGTAAAGGGTTTTGGGCTGTGGCTGTGGGTTTGTGAGTGGGGTGCTGGGGGGGAGGCTGCCTCCTCCTCCCCTCCTGCTGCTGCACAGGCCATTTTTAACACGGAGCCCTGTGAACAAACCACACTTGTTGTAGGAGAGCTCACTCCCCTCCCTCCCAGTTGCCCACCTTCTTTGGTTAACTGACCTCTCCGACGACGTGGTTCAAACTTGCAAACCCAGAAGAAAGCCTGTCTTGAATTTTATCTTTTTTTTTTTCATTATTATTGTTGGTTTTCTGGTTTTGGCACCCTGTTGCTGTGTCAGCCTGGTCCTGCAGCTGGCCTGAGGCGCTGCCTGGGAGTGATGCAGAGCCATTAGAGCATTGGAGCCTTCACAGCTTCAGCAATAGTGTTCATTAACTACTCTGCTGAGCAGGTGGGAGAGTTGGGCAGGATTTAAGAATGCATTCCTGTTTTTTTTCAGCCCTCCTCCCCACCCCAAGTCTCTTTCTTCCTGGCGATCTTCCTGCCCTTTACCAGTGCAAGAGCAGGAGCACATTGCAGCCTAGGGAAGGGAAATGCCACATGGTGGTGGCCTGGCTGGACTCTGAGGGGGCTTGGCAATGGCCTGGGTCCTGCTCTGTGAACTAAAAGGGACTATGCAGGGCTGCCCTGTCTGAGCTCTCTGCTTGTTGTCTTTTGTTTGAGCTGCAACTCGGGTGTTTCTTTACACAGGAGCAGCAGGCTGAGTTTCCACTACAAAAGGTGTTGAAAGTGGCAGACACGGAGAGACAGTTTGGCAACTATCTCTACCGCAAGAGGCACTTGGACGATGCCAAAGACAGATACAAAAAGGTATGCCACCAGAAAAAAAATGGTCTTGTCATTGTAAAAAGCTGTGAAAGTGGTGATTGTGAAGTGCTAGCTCACCATAAAAAGTACAGTTTAGAGATCACATCATAGAATTGTAGCATGATTCTGTCATCAAATGACTTCATTCTATTTTCCAGTGTGGTTTGTTATTTAAGGAGACATCTTAGACACCTGCTTTTGTGTGAGCAGCAGTGGTAATTGAAGGAGAAGGGTTGGGAGAAACAGGCAGAGCCCTTTCCCTTCAGGCTTGCTCCCTGTGGGCTCTAGCTGGGAGGGTAGAGTGTGTCCTGGCTTGGAGCCCTGCACGGTTGTGTAGCTGACTGCTGAGCTAGAGCATTTCAGGGCAGCTTTTGCTGGGAGACCTCATTGTACAGCTCAGCCTTGTGTTGCAGCAGCATTCTGATTAATGCTTTGAGAAGGGATCTAGAATCCCTTTGTCTGGAAGTAGACATCACTGACACAGTGTACACTCAAGCTTTATTTTTAACCTTCCTGATGGGAATCACAGCACAATTGAGGCTGGTGGGGGCTTCTGGATGCTATCTAGTCCAGCGCTCTGCTGAAGGAAGGGCAGCCACAGCTGGAGGTTGACCAGGACTACGTCCATTCAGGTTTTGATCATCTCCAAGGATGGAGACTCCACAACCTCTCCAGGCAGGAAAACAGTTATTCCCAAACTGGAATGCATCTGCCTTTGTTTCAGAGGTAGTGAGGTTTTGTGAGTTTCTTCTTCCCTCCATTCAGAATTGCTTTTTTATTGCTATTTTAGTAACAAAAGTAGTTTCAATTGCCTTTCTCCCTGTAGGATTTCTCTGCCATCTTTGTCCCTAATATTTGAGTTGTGGGTGTAATTTTCTTTATTCTGTTGCTTTCAAGTCCGGAGAGGTTCGTAACCCTGTAGTGCTATGGCTGGGCTTAGTCATGCTGATAATGCTTTTTAGAGTTCTTATTCTTACTATTTGAACAGAAACGGGGGTGCAGCTGTCTGATGAGGTGGGCTTCTCACTTCCCATAACAGATTTGTTGTGCACTAGTTCTTTTTCCTTGTCTGCTCAGGCATTATCCATCCTTGGTCTCAGCCCTTCCAGTGAGGCAGAGCAGCGTCAGATCAATGCTTCCAAGCTGCTGCTACTCCTGAATCTCTCGCTCACTTACCTGAAACTGGATCGTCCTACCCAAGCTTTGGCATATGGGGAGAAGGCCTTGGAGATTGACCAAAGAAATGCCAAAGCGTTGTTCAGGTGTGGCCAGGTGGGCAAAAATGAATTCCTCTGATAGCCACGTCAAGGAATATCCTGACCTGACTGAGTGTGGAGAGAACCTTGAATGAACTGAGGAGAACCACTACATTCTGGGCCAGGCCTTCTAAGCTGCTGCAGCAGTGGGGGAGGTTGGCAAATCTGTCGCACAGATCTCTTTGGGGGGGTTCCAGAGCTATCTGGAGCTGGCTTAGAAATGTTTGTGGTTGCACATGTCCTGAAGAACAGTGGGGAGTCTCTGTTCATCATGTGACACATCTTTTTCTCAATGGCAGGCTTGCCTCTGCATGACAGAATATGAAAAAGCCCGGGACTTCCTGGCCAGAGCTCAGCGCATACAGCCCTTCAACCATGATATTAACAATGAGCTGAAAAAGCTGGCAAGGTGAGAGAACTCCTGTCTCCCCTGTAGAAGAGAGGGTGCTTAGACAGGCTGGAACACCTGCTCAAAAATACTCAATATGGTTAAAAAAACCAAAAACAAAACACAGAACTACTGGTCAGTAATGACTTGGGGAAGTGCAGAAGGCTTCTGTCAGTGTGGAGACAGCTGATTCAAACATGTTAGAGACACAGTGGTTGCAGGTGATAAGTGAGAAGCTGGGAGCACCCCCTCTTCCTGTGCAGTGTCTCTGCAGGATGTGTGTGTCTGCTCCTATGGAGCAGGGAGGTCAGGGTGAGAAAGGGGGGACAGGAGCTGCTGAAAAGCCTCAAAACCAATGAGATGCAGTAGGCTAGCACTCAAGCTGATAATGTTCCAGATTAATGAGAAGGATTTTTACTCCCTTTAAGATGCACTGGATAATTTCAGCAGCTCTTCTGCACTGCAAGTGTTTCAGTGTGCAATGCTACAAATACTAATGTTTGTTAAAAGGGAATTTCTTGCTGTCTTGGAGGTAGTAAGTGAGCAATCCTGAAAGCAAACTGTCCCTTTGCTCTCAGGCTGAGTACAGCACAATCTTGCCAGCTTTAGTTATGCCCTAGGACCACCAAAACATGGCTAACACTAGTCTCTACCCTCATTCTCTTCTTCCATTTGAAACTGGCGGAAGCACCAGCTGGTTCCCAAAAGCATGTGCTGTACTCCTGGCATTGCTCACAGATGGAGGAGGCAATGCAGTCCTCAGCTTCAGAGGTCACAATGCAGCCCTTGAGCCCTCTTTTGTGCATCACTGCTAGGCATTTGCTTAAAGGTTTGTAGGCAGCAGTAACATCTCTTATTAGAGTAGTTGGTGTGACTGGAAAAGATAGTCTGGTACCCGAGTGATTTCCCTAGGTGTTTTGGTGGAGGGCTCTCCTTTCATAGCAGTCCCCTGTATATATCCACGTCATCCTTAATGGTCTGTGATAACACTAAGTCTTTAAACTTGTTCTCTTACTTCTGAAATATGAAGAACTTGAAGGCAGCATTAGCTGCTGCTCTGGAAATCTGAAATAAAGCACTTCTATTGGTCCTGGTCTGCCTCTGGGTATGTAGCTACCAAATTGCTAGGTGTGAGTGCAAGTAGGTATAAAAAATATCTGTGTGGCTGGATAGCTCCTGGAGGCTTGGGATGTGGGTAATGTCAAAGGCCTGTGGGCCTGTGCTAGAAGTCCTGGTCCTAGAAACATCATGTGTTCTCTCAGACTTGTTTGAAATATGTGGCAGGTGAAAGAGAAACTTTGCTGATAAGCTGAGGTGGTTGTGCAGGAAGCACCAAGGTGCTCTGTTTGGGGGAGCAGCGGGCAGGCTCATCAGCCCCAACTCTGGAGACAGCAGCATGTACAGCTCGTGTGTCAGTAAGCTGAAGATGCATTGAACTGTTGTCTTGGAGTTTCTGCTTCAGTGCTAGTTAAAATTGGTGTAACTTTTGCTTTTACTGTGTCAAAGAGTGGAATTAGTATAGAATAGGTGAAGAAAACATTGTCGGGGGTTGTTAACTTAAGCCAGACCTCAGACTAGATCTTGTAATGTTGCCAAACTGTCTTGCCTGAGAAAACTTGTAATGAGATCTGGCAAACGCTTCAGAAATGGAATATGAATCAAAATCTTGTTCTTAGAGGCTTCTTGCTTCCTTAATGAGTACATTGTACTTGGCAAAGAGGAAAGTCTTTTGCTGTGTAAACCAAAATGTTGAAAAGCATCTGTTTTAAAAACTGAACCAGGTTTTTGGCAAAATTCACCTCACTGAAGAACAACAGGCAGTATCCAGGGTGAGGGTTTTGTGAAACACATCTGATACCAGTTGGAGGGATTTTGGTGCAAATTCTGCTGCTGGATTTGCAGTTCTGTTGGAAAACTTGCATTGCATCAAATCCAGAACAAAAGGGGATTGTTCTGATCTCTGGCATCAGTCTGTGCCTCCAAATGAAGGGATCTTGGATTTCCTGCAGTGGTAAGAGTGAGCAGGCCATCCACAGTCCAGATGGGCATCCCTGACCTACTCTGTGGACAGTTGTGGCAACATCTGTCTGAGACTTAACCAATAAGACCTACTGTGCTGGAACTTCACTGAATGAAGCACTTCTGGGTTCTAGACACTAAAGGAATAGAGAGAGGATTAGCCAATGTCACGCTTGTGCTGTTTCTGGTGTGTTGCACAAAACCCCTTTGCTTTTGACCTTACATGGTAGCAGATGCTGGAAAGCTGACCGTGTGGGCAGCCATCGATCCCTGGGATGGTGCCCAAACTGAGTCACCTGCTGGCTCAGGGATTCCTCACCTCTGAGACCTTGTTGCTAGTAAGGTGAGAGCACAGGGTGCAGGGGATGCTGTGCTTGAAGAAGAAGCAATTAAAATGGAGCTGTCTGGGAAGCTTTTGCCATGCTAATGTGACACTGGCAGGGAAGTGAGAGTGGAGGAGGAAGCAAATCCCTGCTATTTCCACTTAGTCCGGACACAAATCCCTGTTGTCTTCTACCCATTCTCTGCCCAGATTCAGTGTCAGTGGTGGATACTCTTGAGTAGAGCACTCGGACTGTGTCTCCTGCTAGGTGCTCAAGGAGCTTGCATAAGGAGTGGCGCAAATGAGGAGACATGAAACTAGACCATGGGATATGGGTGGGGGTTCCTCTGCAGCATCACATGCTTACAAAACTGGTGTAGAAAGCATCTGGCTACCAAAAATCCAACTATACTTAGTTGATAGTCACCAGCGAAGCAGAGACCCAAGGTCTGGGGACAAGGCACAATATTTCCAGCTGTCCTTCCCTGACAAGGCAGAAAGAAGGGCTTGAAGGATCTGCAGCTTTGGTCTCAGCACACTCCTGCATTAGGCTAATTTATTTATATAGAAACACTAAGATGTTTTCTGGTTGTGGCACTGGTGGGTTGGCAGGTGCTCCCCAGCCTGTGCTGCCATGCTGTGCTCTGCTTTGCAGCTGCTACAGGGACTACATGAACAAGGAGAAAGAAATGTGCTGCCGAATGTTTGCTTCTCTCAACACTTCTGCCTGAGCAGGAATAAAGGTAATGGAGTTGTAAAAAAGGCTGAGGTTTCCCAAAACCTCTGTTGTCTCTGAACTGTTGTCAGGTGAGGAAATCTTTGGAGGGAAGGGAATAGGGTGTGTGGAGGGGAAGGGGCAGGATGGTGGAGTGAAACGCTGCTGCATTGTCAGCTTGGGGAATCTTTCCTGAGAGACAAGCTGGTGTGGGATAGGAACCTGAGACTGGCAATACTTGAATAGTTTGATTTTGTTGTTTCCTGTGCTGCTCATCCCAGCTATTCCTTGTCAGAGCCACAGGGAGAAATAGCTGTGTAGTCTTGTTTCTATGCCAATTAAAAGAAACAAAAAAAACTTGTTCCTGTCAAACATAAGAATTGGTTTTCCTCCTCCCCTCCAGCACTCCTGGCTGGAGCTGTTGGAATGCCTCAGTTCAGAAAAAGCTAAATATTTTATTCTCTTTTCTTTTTCTTTTTTTTTTTTAATATTAAAAAGCCTGTTTGTACAGAAAATTTCAAATAGATGTTTTGGACTCTTTAAAGCCTTAAATCTTTGAGCAATATTGATGGGTTTATAAATGCACAAAGGCTCTTTGATCATTCTTTTTTTGTCAAAACCTTCGGTGGGAGCGGAAGGGGGAGTGGAAATCTTCACTGGTCTCTTGCCTCCGGGTAAACCATAGGGAAAGTGTTGTGGAAAGTGACAGCAGCCTTCTGTCAGAAAGCAGCAGCAGCTTGGGGCCATTGGAGTTCACAGCTATTGTCTCATGCAGAGCAGGCAGTACCTCTTCTGGATGTAGAAAATGAGTATTGGCAGCTTTTCCAGGAGTAGCAGTGAGAGTGCAGGGTGCAGGTCTGGTATTTTAAGGTTGGCTCTTTTGTCTGTGCTGTGAGAAAGCTAAGGTAGTATGTGAGGGAGAGCTTTGCTTGAGCAGTTGCTTCCAAAGGCGACACAACCCTCTTTTGGCTGGATGCACCTTGCTGCTCTAGTCTTCACCTCACCCAGCCCCTGTGCCTGGGTCTGAGCTGGGCATGTTGCTGAACTGCCTCAGAGCACAAATGTTTCTGCCCTGGGTTCAGGATGAGACAGGTTGCATGTTAGCAGGTATCTACCCTCAGGCAAGTAGCTGTGAAAGGAGATTTAAGGCTGAGAAGCATTCTTGCTGGTGTGTGCAGAAAGGTTGTGGCTTTGGGCTTGGCAAGTTGGTTCTGATTCTCCACATGCTGAATTTCAGACACTTGCAGTTTGGAAGCCTGTAGGACTTGGGGCTCATGGCTGATAGAACCACATAGTAGTGCCTAGCCTGGGTAGCATCTTGTGCGCATCTGCGCCTTGCTTTGTGGTAGGAACTCCAAATGAATGTGGTCATCTGCTGGATCACCAGACAGGTCCTCCACTGGAAAGGTTGTGTGGCCTCTTTTTTCCCAACAAGTGGCTCACAGGGGTGCTAGTTTTCACATAGTGGATGTAGTGGCCCAGAGCTGCTGTTCTAAATAAACAGACATCTTTGGTTAGTGGAGCCCAAGAAGTGCAAAGGGGAAGGGAAAAAGAGAAACTGCTGCTGGAGGTTTCATGGAGGGGGCTGAACTGCTCATCAGCCACTTTCCAACCTGGCCTTGAACACTGCCAGGGATGGGGCAGCCACAGCTTCTCTGGGCACCCTGTGCCAGCGCCTCAGCACCCTCACAGGGAAGAGCTGCCCAAGAGCTCATTTCAATCTCCCCTCTGGCAGGTTAAAGCCATTCCCCTTGTCTTGTCCCTACAGGCCCTTGTCCAAAGCCTCTCTCCAGGTTTCCTGGAGCCCCTTTAGGCACTGGAGCTGCTCTAAGGTCTCCCTTTCAGGAGCCTTCTCCAGACTGACCCAGCCCAGCTCTCTCAGCCTGGCTCCAGAGCAGTGCTGCTCCAGCCCTCTTGCAGGCGCATACTGCTGGGTCATGGGAAGCTTCTTATCAACAAGCAGGCCCAAGTCCTTCTCCTCCAGGCTGCTCTGAAAGTATCTTGCTCAGAACACACTTTTTTTCCTTTTTAATGGAGTTTCAGATCACAATCAACCTTTTCTGTGGTGAAATGCAAGGCCACTTGTGGTGCTTCCTGGAAGAATTTGGAAATACAGGGAGAAACAGGAGCATGAACACTTTCTTAAAGCCATTCTGCTACAGTTCAGGCAATCACAGTGGCCTGGCTCTCATGCTTGCCCCTCTGGGTTTGGATTATTTGCCTGCCTCTGTATACTTTGTGTGATATAGACATGTTAAGCCAGGTTACGTGGGATGTCCATAGCTGTAGGTCCTCCTCAGTGTCCCCTGAATTGCAGGATGGGTGGGCTGAGGGCTGCTGGCTTATTGGAGCTTTTTCTTCTTTGTTTGAAAGACCCAGCATCAAAACCCAGAAATTTCTTATCATATTGCTTCAGTCCTTCATGATAAGAGATCTTAATCGTGAGGGGTGGGGACAAGTTCGCTAGAAATGTCTGGATTCTAGGAGAGGGTCCTTGGTGACAGTTTCACCCCAGAAAGATGAGTCTCTGAGCTTTTTTTGTTATAGGTGGGCTGAAGTTGCCAGCTTGCCTCTAATGTGTCTGCACAGGAGAAGTGGAGTGGTCTCAGTAGTTGAGAGCACCCAGGGAAGTGTTCCAGTGCAAACAAACTTCTGAAATTATGGCAGGAAACTCTGACTCTGAGGTCAAACCTGAGATTGCTACGAATAGCAGGGTCTAGCAATTCTGAAGCCATTAACTGGTGAGAATTGGCTGCAGTACTGGGGCTGTGTCACCAGGTAGAAGTGACCATAATTGGGCTTAAAATCAGCAGCAGCTGACAGTTAAACTGACCTAATAAGCTGAAAGAGACTTGTGAATAAAATGAGGAGTATGTGTCAAACAGTCAAAGCTCCTGCCCTGGGAAGGCTCCAGACTCTGAGTAAACAGCAGCTTGCTTCTTCCCCTCCTGCTCTTATTACTGAGCAGATCTAAAATTTGCCTCCTGCTGACACTGTCCCTACCCACTGCCTGAAGCTGAGCAACAGAGATCCAGCAATTTCACTTCTCCTTTAGAATATGCAGATTATTGTACCCCTGAGATGTCCTGTGCTGCACAGGAAACTCTTAAATACCTGCTTTATGCTGAGCATTGCTGGAGCAAGCAGAGAGGCTTGAAGGATGACTTAATTAAGCATTCTCCTTGCTAAGCAGAGGAAAGAGAAAAGCTTTAATAAGGTTTTTGGGTTGTTTTTTTTTTTTGGTTTTTTTTTTTTTTTTTTTTTGCTTTCCCTCCAGCTCTCTCGTCTTCTAGCATCTTCCTTTTTTTCTCAGCTGTTCTGCAGTTCATGCCTGCAGTAGTACCTGTAATGCCTCCCTGGAAGATTAGTGGGCTCTGGTCTCTTCTAGCAACTGTCAGTGGAGAAATGGCTGCTGTGCCATGGGTGCTTCCTGGACAGGTGTACTGGCCATGGGCCCTGGTTTGAATGCACTAGTGGTGGCCCTGTCCAGAGTGTGAAGCTCAGCCTGGGCTTTGAAATGAAAAGATGGTATGAAGTAAAAAGGAGGGAGACCCATGTGATACCTTGGTGCCCTCCTGTGCCTGTCCTCCAAGGCATCAGTGAAGTGGTGGGTTTTGGAGAATAATCCTCTGCTTGTGGGCTGCCAAGCGTCGTTCATCCCGTGCAGCCCTGTAATGGGGTGTTCTTTCCATCAGCAGTGATCCAGAGCAGCTGACAGGGGACCAGGGGCCGCATCACTTGAACAGCACCAGGGCATCGATGGCTGTGTCTGACACGGTGGCACCAGTGATTGCAAACAGACTGTGTGGCTGCCAGCATCAGGAGGCAGGAGACACCACTGAGGGCTTTGGATCTGGGGAGCATTGCTTTCAGAAAGGGTTTTTGCTGAAGATGCAGGGAATGTCTTGCCACTGCTGTGAGCTGGTTTGCAGAACTGCAGTTAACTTCCAGTAAGGATAGAGGTGACCATCATGTGCCCCCCCCCACTACCCAGCCTGCTTTACTGGGGACCTGTTGATTTGACAGAACACTGAGGATTATTGACATGAAATTTATCTGAGTTCTTGAAGGACTGGGAGCTGCTCTAAGGATCAGTTTGAGCCCAGACTTGCCAGATGAGGTCCTTTGTGAGTCAGAAGTGTGTGTTGAAGAGTTCATGTCTTCTTTCACCATGCCATAATAATCCTTCTTGTGAGACCTTGCTGTCTGGACAAGTTTTTGTGTTGCTTTGTCTGGGTGTTGTTTTAAGGGTCTTTTCTTAGACATGCTTGAGAAAGAGCTCCACTTTCTGGTTTTCCTTTGCTTCAGATATCCTTGTCCTATCACAGATCTGAGCAAACTTGACAGGCCCTTCTTCTATTGCCTCAGTTCAGGATGGTAGCACATGTCATCAGCATTCAGGGTGTTTTGGAGTCAAGAATTGTTAAAGATCTCTGGAGAATTTTTCCTGCCACAGATCTGTCTGTCTAGCTTACAGCAGTGCTTGAACCTCACTGCAGATCCTTTGCAGAGCTGAGGATCATGACAAATTGATTCGCAAAGAAAAAAATTCCTCAGGAAAAAAGCATGTGAGTGCAGCTCTTCAGAGGGCCATGGAGGTTCATATGGCTTGGTCATATAAAAGGGGAGGAGCACATCTGTTCCTTGCACCTTCATCTGCGAGTCTGGATGTTGGGGACACCTGTGATGGGGTAGCCGGAGCCTGCTCATACCTTCAGACCTGGGGAGTCTGAGTGCCTGCTGGTGTGCTGCCGTGCTCTGCAGACAGGCTTCGCAGCCATCTTGGCCATAAAAGCAAGTCCACTTGAAGCACTAACAGCTGGACATCCCCAGCAACATGTTAGAGAGGGAAAGGAGGGTAAAGCTGGCTGCGGAGTCACTTCTGAGGACAGCAGGTAAGTGGCACCCTAATTAGGAAGCTTTCTGAAGGCATGTTGTGTGCTCAGAGAGAGGCTCCCTGGGATGGCGATGTGGCATGTTCCCTCTAGGCATTGTCCAGATAAAGCCATGATAGCT